CGAATTCAGTTATGGGATGAAATCGGATAGGGATGAAATCGTTTAGGGATGAATGGGTTTAAGAGTTTTAAGAGTTTAAGAGTTTTTAAGAGTTTTAGTCAAATGTTTTATAATATAGTATAGATATAGATTATAAGCTCGATTAACAGTAATTGTTAATAATTACTATTAATTATAAATAAATATTAATTAGAGTAAACTCTAATTTTGGTCCCTGATGTTTAGTGAAATCTTTAAAAGTGAGATCTGAATTTTAAGAAGTCTAGAAATTGTTCTTGTTTTATTTTGCTTTAAAAGTGGTCCATTAATAATGTCGGTTAGAGTGAGGGGTGTTTTGGTCTTTTTCTCCATTTCCTTATTTATCTTTTAAAAAAGACAAGTTGTCTACCTGTGCAATGCGGCAGGATGTAAAGTTTCTATCATGATATATTCAACTTTTAAATATCATTTTTTTGTAAAATATCTTTGAAATAGTTGGGGGTTCACATCTGTATCAAAATCCAAAAATGAAAAATTAATGCAATTTCTCATTCAGAAAGTCTAAAATTTATGTTTAAATAAAATAGAAATTAGAATCATACATAATCATCATTCGTTCTATTGCTAGCATGTTACTTGGTTTGCCTGCAAACACATTTTAATGCCGTATATAACATGTATAGATGCTTGAATTTCAAACCATTATTATTGTATAAAACGCGATCTAAGTTCAGTTTATATGCTATTTTGCATAAAAAAGTTAAAAGAGGAAATATACAGTGTGATATGGTTTCATATATTACATAGATTATATACATGGTAATATGTATTTTCTTATGAGTTGTTGCCTACGATATTCCGTAATCAATTGTAATGGTTGGTTTTATAACGTCAGGAGGACAAGATTGCTGTGATTGTCGGTACAATTACTGATGACGTTCGGGTGCATGAGATCCCTTGTATGAAGGTTACTGCTTTGAGGTTTACTGAGACTGCAAGGGCAAGGATTGAGAAAGCTGGTGGAGAATGCTTAACATTTAACCAACTAGCTCTTAGAGCTCCTCTTGGACAGAACACTATATGTTCTTTATTCCCTTACTCAAAATGGAGAAAATGAGGATTTTGAGCTAATATTTTTGCTCCAACAGCTTTCCCATAATCATCTTCAAAATGACGGAAGTAGGAGAGAGAAAGGCTTTTTCTTCAAATATGGAGAACACCTCAGAAATGGTTACCAAGTGAGACCACCAATAGAGAACTTTGAAAATAAATATTTAGGGAGGGAAATAATAATAGATGAATGAAATATTTTAATATTATAATCAATGTTGGATTCTCCGAAATAAGGAATCTCTTGGAGATAAATGTAATTTTTTTTAAAGATTTTGACTTTTAGTTTTTCTTTTTGGAGAAATTTTGTGGAATTTGTCTTAGATGCTCTAATATGCTACAGTCTTTTATTGGCCCAACATAAGCACTGTTACTTGTTCCTTGGGCTTTCCTCTTACATTCGATTGTGGGGAACACGTAATCAGCCACGGACTGGGGTGTTGGGTCAGTGTTGGCTCGTCGAAAGGACGGTGCCTGGTACAAAATTCAGTATTCATGTAGTTAATATTTAACGATGACAATAATACTTGAGGAAGCCTTGAGTACTTCAAAATACGAAAAAGTGCCACGCCATCACTTGCGAGGCCAAATGAAATGTAATTAGTGTGCAAAAATCGAAATGTAAATATACCTAGTAACAGCGGAATCATCTTCAGTTTGACTTAAAAACATTTAAGTAATTAGACCTCTAGATGACAAAAACAGACTTGGTGTAGAACAATAATTCGAAGTTGTGTAAAACAGTAATGAAATTAAAAAAAGACAGAAGATGAAGTTTCTGCACACATGAATATAGAACACAGTTACATGATTGAAAAATCAATGTGTTCATGGTGAAAAAAATGTCAAAAGAATCCTCAAAATCAAAATCAAAGAAAAATCATTTTCAAGAATCTGAGGCGATCTTCTGTAAAAAAATGGGGCAAAAAAACCATATCTGATTGATTCATATGCAGGATCACATTCCAGTCTATTCAATGAACAAGTAATCCTTTAACACATGATCCAATTATGTTGATAATTTCATGAAATTGTTATTTGGGTGGGTATTGCAGGTTCTGCTAAGAGGTCCAAAGAATTGTTGTGAAACAGTGCGACACTTTGGAAAGGCTCCCGGTGTGCCACACAGCCACACCAAGCCGTATGTGAGAGCTAAGGGCAGGAAATTCGAGAAGGCTAGAGGTAGAAGAAACTGTCGAGGCTTTAGAAACTAAGCTCTCTGAGGTGGTACTCTTTGAATTCAGTTCTATACTCTTTCTATCTTTAAATTTGGTCATCTATTAGACATACTTGTTGTGATGAAATTTTTTGTTGGTCATCTTTTTTGGGTATTGTTGGATGATTTGAGTCTTAATATTTCCATTTGGATTTTGATTAAATCAATGTTGGTTGCACTTGAAATTGAAGCCTCACTTGGATGTGCATTCCTGGTATTTCAATGTTCTCCTGACACTAAGGGGTTGTTTATCAAATACTTACCAATAAAATTTAATAGTATTATTTATTTATTGAGTAAGATTTTAGTCCACCAAAACGACATCGCATGCAACAATTTACCAGGTAAGTGCTTACCGTGGTAAGAGTTGTCGCCCTCACTTGCCGGGTAAGACTCTTGGTCCTTGTTTCGCTCTTACCGGGTAAGATTCTTGATCTTTAATTACCATATTCATGTGATGAAGTAATCTTACTTAATAAGCGCTTACCTGGGTAAGCGTTTGATAAACGGCCCCTAAATTAAAGTTCGGTTTTGCATTTTAAGATTGATTTTTCTTAGTTGTCACTTCGTTTATGGTTTCTTAATTTATATATTTACTATTTTTTGTAGGGTTATTGCTCAACTATTTTTAATATCATTATTAAAAATCTGTTTCCATTTCCAAATATTAGAGTAAACATGTAAAATTGGTCCCAATGGTTTGTTGAAAATATCATGTAAATTTTATACCCAGATAAGGAAAGCGGTTTAAAAAAACAAATTTATAAAGTTAGCTAAGAGATTAAAGTTTTATGAAACAGAAAGTTGTTTTAAAGGTGTATAATCTGGATTGAAAAAATAAAGGGTTTGAAATAGCAGAAGATTTTTGAGCCATTCAGTAGTTTTATGAAACAGAAAGCTGTTTGTTGTTCTGGTTTGTGTCATCCTCGTTAAGTCAAATATTTGCTTTATTAATTTTCGAAATGAATTGAATAAGAAAAGATCTTGATATCATATATATATATATATATATATCAACCACATGAGCATCCATGTATTTCTTCAACCTTGTTCCATCAAGGGGACTAGAAGTCACACACCCAATGACTAATCTGTTACATAGTAGATTTCAATATCATCAAGTTAAAAGAATGTTATCGAACGATGAACAAATGAGATCCAATTACGACATTTATATGACATCCCATGCAGTGTTTCCATAGCGAACCACGTGCGGTATACAAACTTAAACCCATATATGGATTATGTGTTTCTGTATGAATACTTACATATACTAGATATTTCTTCAATCTTAAACCTGAAGTAATGTTTGATGATTGGACACATTTAAGGGTTGTTTACTTGAGGTTTAATTAGGTTTATTGGTCTATCTGGCTTATTCGCACAACTCATTTTGGTTGTTTACTTACGGCTTATTCGTACATAACATGGCTTAATCGCACAGATAGAAATGATGTGTTGTCCCCATTCAGCCACAAAATGACACCCCTACCCCTTATTTAAAGCATCGCCTCCTTTCCAAATGAGACATCCTATCGTCAACCTCTTTATGATTTTTTGTTTTGATGTTGAAATAATTAATATTGAGGGGTAAATCGGTCATTTATGTTATTCAGACTGTTGGTTCAGATAAAAAAAGTAAACAACACTCATTTATTCAGACAGACAAATTTATCCATATAAAACTTCATAAATTTTTTGGTAAATAACCTCTTAATATCGTTATATTTAAATAGAAATAATAATCATAATATAAATATAACAATTGGGAAATGGATTTTGTAACTCTAACTATATTATATAATTAATTAAAAAGAATAAAAAACATAATTAACAGTAAAGGCAAAAGCAAAAAAGAGATAAAGGGATATGTAAAAAGACATAAATACCCTTCACTTAATTGACAATTTTTAATGGTCTTAAACCAAAAGCACCATTTTCAAAGCAAATTGCAAACCCCGATGACCATTGTACATTTGTACATGAAGTTCTGTTGTTTTAATCCTTAAAACTTTACGAGATGAGCCCATGTTTCATGGCCTTGTAATAGGGTGATGTTTGATTGGTTTGAGCTTGACTTTAAAGGTTAAAAGTATTAGGAGGTCTCAAGTTTTCAAATCCAAGGAGGAATAAAATCCCCTTCTGGTCACGGAGGTTTAAATACGGTAACTCCGGGCTATCTGCAAAACATGTAGTCGCCCTGGGATTAATCGGCTCGCATAACGGGTTGGATATCCAGGTTAATAAAAAAAATGTTTCATAGCCTTGTTATCTGTAAGAGATCATTGCACACGAAATACTGATTTAAGTTTATAAAATTATTTATAGGATCAAACAATAAAATATTCTACGTAAAAGTGTTACCATAAGTTTACATGACACTTTTAGATGTTTTAAAAAGTCTTTTAAGATATTTTAAAATAAAGTGTCATATCGACATTTTTATTTATTTATTATGGAACGCTATTTGAAAAGTGTAGTATAAACACAAATGTTTTATTATAGAACCTTTTTTGGTCGGATTCTACTTACATAACTTAAAAGATTTAGATTTAAATATCATACGTAGACAAGGGTAAATTAGTCTTTTCAACATGATACATCATAGTAATATTAAATATCGAAAACCGAAACAGACAAAAAAAGCACAATCTCTTGCATAGATATGCACAACATAAATTTATTATTTACAAATTCAAGCAACCATATATAAGAACTTCTATACTTTGGACAATATAAATCGGTAAAATGAGTAATAGGTCAAATCAAGAAGTAGATCGAATCATATAAAGCAAATAATCTACTTATAATATCTCTCGTACCACCGAAAACCTTCGCGAAGAAGGGATTCCAAAGCTAGCTCGATCATGGGCTCACGACCACACGTGACTGCCATCAAACTTGGTTGTTGCTCGTACGCTCACAACAATAGGTTTACCGACTTAAGTTTTGGTTCCATTCTAACTTGTTGGTTCGCGAAAACGTGCCGCCCAAAGCGAGTTTAGTGAACGAAGACGTTGGAAGTACTCCCCTAATGCAATCAACCCTCTTGCAGCTTGATGTGTCGTTAAGATTCGAGACATTTGTTGTAACACCTGTTGTCGTAGGTGATCCGCCTGTATTATAAATGCGATAATAAGATTTTTATTCATTTCGTTTCTAAAATTACTACCAGTAAATGGTTTTTATAAGACGTCAAATCTGTCTAAATGTCCTAATACACTGTTTTATATGTTGATTAAATAATTGTGCATGCTATGAGAAAATGTTACAATAAGTTGATATGACGTTTTTGGAGGTTGTAACAAGTTTTTTCAGATGCTTTTGAAATAAAACGTGCTATTAGTTTTTTTTTACATGACATTATTTTAAAAATTGTCTTATAAAAACAAGTCTCCTATAAAATGAATGTTAATAAAACCCTTCTAGAAAATGTCTTCTAAAAAATAATATGATATTATATTTCAAATGTATACTAACAAATTTTTTAGGAGTCCAAAAGCATCATTTCAACTTATCGTAAGACGTACTTCTTACATAAAACGTAATTATTTGATCTAATAAATTTAAGTCGTATAAAACAGTCTATTAAAACATTCGACATATTTGACGTAAAATCAAGTACAACATAACTTGTGGTGAATACTCGATTCTAGTTAAATGTAAGGGGCTGTTTACAAAACATTTACGCGGTAAGCGTTAACCGGGTAAATTTAACACTATCATTTGCATACCGGGTAAAATTTTATTCCACCAAAACGGCATCGTATGCAACAATTTATCCGGTAAGCCCTTACCATGGTAAGGGTCGTCTCCCTCACTTACCGCGTAAGACTCTTGGTCCTTCTTTCGGGTAAGATCGTAGGTCCTTACCATATTCTTCCGATAAGGTAATGTGACTTGGTAAACACTTATCTGGGTAAGCGTTTGGTAAACGGTCCCTAAAGGTGACTAATGCTACTTTAGAAGAGAACCCACGTTAAATTAATTACTCCCCAAAACAATCGTTGAAGAGAGGATGGTGGTTCCATTTCCAACATATATCGAAAATAATGGTCCCAGTCTACATCGGGTAGATTGGATCATCTTCTTTGATATACGTTGGAACCTCCATTCGTTCCTTAAAAGAACTCATTTGGAGAGTTATCCACTGGGTTCCATATATTCTCGTATAGAATCAATCAATCCGTGCTATTTACCTGGTTCAAGAAATTTTCGATTCCTTCAAGCCTCTCCATTGCACAAGCCATTTGCACATTGTAACTTCCGGCTCCAGTTATGTCGATCGTGATGCCCTGCGCGAGCGTTTGTTGAAGCTTTTCCATTCCTAGAGTCAGCGCATCCTCGGCTTGCTTACAAGAGTGTCTCAAAGTCGAGACACTCACGATTTGGGCATTAGTTAACGGTTCGAATTGTGGCATTAGTATCTGTCCATGAAAGCAAGAAAAACGACAACGATGTCTCAACTTACTATTATACAAAACGAAAGTATTTCGTATGAAAAGTATTCTTTACTCTTTAATTTTGGGTCGAAATGAGTAACGAGGTCTTACGTATAGGAGCTCCGATGGTCGTGGTCCTCCAAGCCACTGAAAGAACCTTTCGACAGGGGTTCTCCACAACCCGTGCATCAAATAGAACACATCTGATTTTGCAGCATTGGCTTTCATTTGGAAAAGCTCATAGTAATGGTTCAGGCTACTGTCCACGAATATACCAAGCTCTAAATCGCTCATGGGAGTTTGCAACATGTCCTTGAGTTCGCTATCTTTCTTTTGCTGCTCGGAAACCCACATCTCGTACGCCATCTCAAATGCAGCGATACCTACACATCAATAGTCCAAACCAACTTCTTTTACTTGAAACAAGCGGTGAGTTGATGGGTTTATTCATATATGAATGTACACTATATATGTTCATGTCTTTGTGTTTATTCATGTATGAATATATGCTATATTCATGTATGAATTATGATTATACATTGAATATAGTCACATACCCGAGTTGACATTTCCTGATAATAGACCATTGCTTGTGTTCAATAAACCACCGTACACACGCTGCAATCAATCATCAACCACCAACATGTCAGATGCGATAACGATAGCCTCGAGTTTGCGCACTTGGCCATGAGAAAAGAAAACAAACGTGAAAAAAGCTTTTTCGTGTGAAATTTTTGGTTCACCTGCTGTCGAGCTCTCTCGAGTTCTTGCTCCAATTGTGCCAACTTCAAACGACCCGTTTCCAGTTGTTGAACATAGGCCTATATATATAGAGTACTATATACATGTAAATATGATTCACATTTCATAGGGCACAAAATCCACATGGATATTGAGAAGTAGATATTATTGAGGTGGAAGATCCAAATATAACACAAAAAGTGAGTGTTGGTGCGTACCTTTTTTCGCAATCGACTTTTACGTGCAGCTTCCCGGTTTTGTGCTAATCGTCTTTGCAACTATAGTTATAAAAATGCAACAAAATTAGCATACATACATACATACATATATATATATATATATGTGTGTGTGTGTGTAACATACATATATATACATATATATATATACACATACATATATATATACATATATATATATACACACATATATANCATATATATACATATATATATATACATATATATATATATATATATATATATATATATATATATATATATATATAAGATCAACAAATGCAAATGAAGGAATCATGTATCACCTTATCAGACATGTTTTTTGCTGCTTGATTGTCTGATGAAGGTCCTATAGATTCCTGAGAAGTGTACTCCGTCTAAAAAAATATATATGTTAGAAGAAAATATTGCATGATAACATGATTGTTGTATTGGTTGTACAAATGTAAAGGATTGTACAAATGTAAACGGTTGTACAAATGTAAAAGGTTGTATAATAACCCACCTTTCTCTTTATATATATATATATATATAAAAGATAATTATAGTTATCTTAATGCTTAAGGAAGAGATACATTTTACATTTAAACAAATTATTTATGGCGTATGATATTTCAAATCTTACTAAAATCAAACCACACAGATACAATATATCTGAACAATAGAGATAGGATCTTGGAAGATAAGATATATGCAGATCTTACCTTTATTCCTGGAGGCTTTTTTTAAAACATTATTGTTTGTATGAGATACGTAATTAAAGTAGTTGTAAAGGAGATCACCGAGCCTATACCTTGGCTAGTCGTGTGTCAACTTGAGAGATCGTAGAGGGACCCGTGTTTGGGCTAATATCGCATCCAAATGTGTCGTCCCACATGCTAATATGGTGAAGCGGATCGTATATGCCCATCCTTCTCGAAGTGGCAAATTGTGTTGATGTTGATGCCATAATTTCTACTCACGTAAGAACGAAAAATATTATTGATTCTCGAGTATCATCAACTCTTAACATATCAACTCTATACACTTGTAACATATCTATGCATATCTATACCTCAGAATAAGATCAAAACGAATATATATATATATATATATATATGTATGTATGTATATGTATGTATGTATATATATGTATGTATATAGATTTCCAAGGAACAGGATATCAATACTAGATTATCTAGTAGAAAAGATTTCAAAATCATCATTTGATTCCATTTCAATTCTTGACTTTTTGAGGTCAAAACCTAGTTTTTATCGAAAAAAAAAAACTAAAAATTCACATGGAATTTGTAGTTTTTTTGAAACTCTTCCTTTCAGATATTTTTTGAAGTAAATTAATAGCCAATTTTTTTAAAGAAAGTGTTTTTTTTATTAGTTTTGAAGTTAAATGATTACTTGTTTGATCTTCAAAGTCAAAAGTTGACTCATTTTGCGCTGTTAAAAGATTCCAATTTTGATGAATAACCCTTGCATCTCAACTGAGGCTACCAACTTTCCACTGCGCTATGAAGAACAAAAGGATAACAACACAACATCTCACACACACAGACACACACTCAATTTACACACACATAAACATGGGATAAAGATAAATTCTGAACACCCCAATTAATATATCAAAGAAGTAAACACACAGTTCACACACAAAACCCTCTTAAAAATATGCCAAAAACACAGTTTTATGTCAAAAAAAAAAGCATAAAAATTTACATATATCAACAACTTTGATTGACAGCAAACAAGATGATGAAGGGAGAGAGGGATATATATATATATATATATATAGAGAGAGAGAGAGAGAGAGAGAGAGAGAGAGAGAGGCTAACCTGCTGAAGTGCTGAATGGTGAAGGAAATCTTCCAAAACCAAAAAGATGCAAAATTTCAGGGGTTTTATAAACAAGAAATTGAACCCATCAAAGCAAGTATGTAAATTAAAAGTGGGTGTGGGTAAAAAAGCATCAAATCATATGATTTTAGAAGAAAAAAAGGAAGAACATCATGGGTTCAAAAGCAAAGGAGAAAGCCCAGTTGGCATAGAAACAGACAACCTAAACAAATTGACAAATTAAGCACTAAACTTACTATCAAAATAATGGTGTTTGCATCGCAATATATACAATACAAGTTTATGGCTTCTGGAGACAGATAAAGACAAACCAGTTAACATCACCCTATAATGATATAATTATTTTCTATTTTTTTTAAAACTACATTATTTTTATTATATAATAATTTCTTTTTTTCAGTTATTTTGGATTAATAATAATTACTTACCCCCTTCATAAACATCACACAATTTAAGAATGTGTAAAAATTACAACTTTTAATTAATAAAAAACAATTTTCCACATCTAATAATCAAGGATAAAATGACAAATTAGACATTTAAGGGTTTTTTGACGTTGTTGAATGGTTTAAAATTGGGTTTATAGGACAATTTCAATCTCTAAGTGTCTCAATATACCGTTTTATAGGACTTAATTTATAGGACCAAAATATAAAACGTCCTATCAAAAGGTGTTGTAATAAGTTTATATGACAGTTTTGGACGTTCTAACAAGTTTTTTTAGGACATTTTTAATACAAAGTGTCTCATTAGCAATTTTATAGGATACTTTTGATAAAGTAAAACTCAATCTTTTATAGGACAATTTTTCAAATAGTGTTCTATAAAGTTGCTAATGAGACGTTTTATATTTAAAAGTGTTCTAAAAAACTTATTACGACGTCAAAAAACGTCATATAAACTTATTACAACACCTTTAGATATGACGCTTTATTTTTTTGGTCCTATAAAATAAGTCTTATAAAGAGGTCTATTAGAATACTTAGAAATTGGGAGTGTCATATAAACCTGATTTTGTTGTAGTGTGCAGAATGATATAGTGTAAAATGTAATATAATTATTCGGTAATTGTTTACAATGGAATTAGATGCTGAATGGTTAAAGAAGACTCATGATACAAAATCATTCAGAGGGTTTTAGAATCATTAAGAGGCAACCATTTTTTTTACCAAACAAGATTCATCTCTTAATGATTCAGAGATTGTCTTTTAATGAAACTATTAAGAAGTAAGCAAACAACCCCTACTTTTAAAAACAGATACTTGTTTTAAGAACAAAAGTTTGGCATAAATTATAATAGTAAATAAATAATATATAAAAGAGTATTTAATGTTTTGTTTTTTAGTGATATAAAAATATAAAATAAGCAGCCTTATGGACATAATTAAAATAATATCATTGTCACGTTCCTATTGACCACGCTCCAAAGCACGTAGCGACCATTTCATTCATCTTATAACATTTAACATTGAAAATCATTGTAAATACAATTCTCATTGTAAACTCAGATAAAAACTGAAACAGTTATAAACAACTGAAATCGTAAAACTTTATCTGGTACTTACCTTCACGTTCTCTTTTCTCTTGTTACCATATGTTTTGCCTTATCTTGATATACATAACATTAGTGCTTTAAAAAGTTCGATAATTTTATGGTTTCCATGCTGACACTGAACATATTTCAAAATCATACGAAAACTATATGTGGATGAAAAACAATCAACATACTCCAGACAAATTAACACGTTCAAAAAATATGTTATGCAAATGATGGAACATGTGCTAAAACACATACGAACATACTTACATATATAATGCATATTCTATACTAAGAGTCTATAACTGATCTATACGGTGAAAAACACCTGATAACTACCTGACACAATATACAGTAACATAATACCGCTCCTTACTAAAACCTGTATGTGGCTTTCATCTCCTTTTTGTAATTGAGATGACATCTCTACGTATGTTTCCACTCAACATCAAAAATATTGTTTCATGTATAACATAACTGATACATCAGCACATACAACTTAAAAATGCAATACATAGCATGTTAGTTATTTTGAAATCGTACTTTACATGCATCACGTCCAGTAAGTTGTCTGAAGATTGATTTGATCATGTAGCATGGGAGAATTTAAGGAAGGAGAGGGTGTATGTGCTACCTCACTATCGTATCAACGTAATGTAAAATACGTTTAGGAGACTTAAAAAAGCACCCACTTTAATTTGATCTGTGTTCTTTAAGTTAAGAAAAAGTGGTTACGACTTACTGATGGTGTCACTGCATGTGACATTAAAGGTTGCAAGTTCAAATATCTTTGATTCTCTATTAACTTTTTGGTAAAATCTTTGGAAGTAGTATATCATTTTTACTAAAACCATATTTTTTATTTTATTTTTTATTATGCTGATTATTTTGTGCTCCCACTTAAATTCTTTTTCAGATCCACCCTGTCATGTAGGGTAATTTGGGACTATATTGATACTTATACTAGCACCTACACATACATATCAAACACATTAGGTCAATGGTCTACCATTACCCAAAACTCACACAATCAAGCATCCAACGTTTCACACAGCCGTACCAGACACTTACATGACCATGCCAAACACATGTCAAATCCTGCATGATTGTGCTAAAAACATATATGTGTCCCTCGGTTTTGGAAGTCAATTGTTTTGTTGTCCCAAATCTAAAATACATCAATTTTGCACCAAATTGCCTCACCCCCTTTTTTTTTGGGAAGAAAATGCCTCATTCCTTAATAAAATAACATTAATAAAAACCATAAACACTTAAAAAATATCATGGGTCACTCCATGAACGATCATACTGGAGTTCTACGTCGAAACTACGCCTGAAACTTATTGATTATTCCTTTAGAATCTTTGTGCTACCACTATTGCTTCGTTCTTGCTTCAAGAACACCCATACTTCCTCTATTTTTTTTTCAAGGATTGGCTTCTGATGTCAAGAGGAAACGTACGAAGAGGCTTTGACTATTGGTTTGTCTTATGAAGATCAACATACATGATTTAAAGGTTATCCCACTTTGAATCCGATTTTCATGGCTTGAAGGTCATCCCACTTTTATTCAAACTTGTTTATAATAATGCTCTCATGTCTACATATTTCATTTCATGCCACTTTAGTCCGTCACATGGACTAGCTATTATAAATTGCTATAATCCAGGTGTTACATTCATCAGGTTCCTAAACAAAACAAAGTTTGACTTGAGACATAACTTAATAATAAACTATCTTACTAATAATGACTGAAAATATCTTTAATAAGCTCAAACTATAGATAACAATTTTTTTTTAAAAGCAACAAGAATATATTAAATAAACAAAAAATCCACTTAAAAAAGATACAAAACACCTCTTATCAGACAATTAATTTTACCAACATCATGTAATACGTACTGTGAATTTGAATTCTTTTTTTAGAAAAAAGAAACGTTTTTAAATAATTTAAAGTAAAAATGTCACGTATGTTGGAAATAAAACGAATATAATGTTTTTTTTAGTAACAAGTAGATGTTAAACGGGATAAAAAGCTTGAGTACTATTTCTAAACAGGTAAAAGCTTTAAGTTTTAGGGGCTGTTTGGCAGTTACTTAATGGTTTGATACAAAAAGATTAAGTGGTCAGAATGATTAAGAGGGTCTCATGATATCGTGCAAAATGAAATATAATTGTTTGGTAATTATTTACAGCGAAATTAAGGCGTTGAATGGTTAAAGGAAGCTCAGAATACAAAAACATTCAGAGGATTTTAGAACCATTAAAAGACAAACTTTTTTTTTTGCCAAACAAGATTAACCTCTTAACGATCCAGATGTTAACTCTTAATGGAACTATTAAGAGGTAAATAAACAACCCCTTAACCTCTTTATTTTATATTTTAATTAACATATATGATTTGGCTACTTTGTAAGAAAAAAAGTTATAAACCAAAAAAATAACACCATAAAAAGAGTTGTAATTTTAATTTAAAATTTGCAAAAAGTATTTCAATTTTCCTTGAAAACACAATATAAAAATGGTTACATAAAATGAATTTACAAATATTGAATTTGAATATGAAGCCCTTTATTTTTATTAACACCAACAAGTTAAATTCTTTTGACATAAATAGCTTAATTTAAAGGTTTGCAATTTTTTTATATGGTTAAAAATTTATAAAAACTAAAAAACATATATCAAGAAAATCTTTAAAAACGAATGAATTAAAATTAGTAACAAAACTCTTCCATTAAGGCATAGATTAATAAAACCCATCTAATTAATTTAATTTAATTTAATTAATA